TCCCCAATGGCAGTGATTTTTTCAGGTTGGCTGAAGGTGGAATGCCCATTCAGAAGTCAAGGGGAGACCAGGGTGTCATGTGATGTGAGCCTGTGGCATCTCCAGTTTGGGAACAGGATTGGCTTGTGGGCTATGGTGCTGGCCTGTTCTCCAGATAGGAGTAGTGTTCTCTATCTCTGGTAGGCTGTAATTGCAGAAAAGGGAGTGTGGGTGTGGCTCCGCTTCTCTGGGCTTCAAAAGGCCCGCAGTCAGTGGGACAGCAGTTAGAGAGGGGCTCAGGAGAAGAAAGGTGGGACTGCTCTCTAGAGTTGCTTCCCCACAAGATCATGGGGGCAGAGCTCTGCCTAAGGCCCCCCCACACAGACCCCAGCACTCACCAGGAGCCCGTGGACAATGATTACCTCCCTCTCTCTGAACCACATTGTTCTCCTTTGTAAAATGGGCGTGATCAAGCTCACCAGCACAGAGCAGCCACACAGCAATCGGTGTTCACTGGGTTGATTAACTCGGTAAGCTGGGCCGGGTCCTAGGGTTCACCTATTGATTAAAACAAAAATGGTCTTAATAGAGGCTTCTCTTCTAATGTGAAAGAAGTAAATTAATGGCTACCATTTTCTCAATTTTTGAATTTTTATTACTGTAAAGGCAAGACTTAGAAAGGGCTAACTGTATTTAACTCTGATATATGTGTTTGTTGAGGGCAAGAGCTCCTGGAAGTGCATTTTCCTATTATAAATGGGTTTCTTCAGCTCTGCTGTGGGGCGAAACTGCTCAGCATCTTGGGTTTACTGCAAAGAGCTGCAGGACACCCAGGGGCTCTGCCACCTGAGTAAGCTTACAAGCGTGGAACCGACATCAGACAAGTGGGCAAGCTGTCTCCAGATGATGGGGTCCAAGGCCCAAATAATAACAACAGCAATAACCACAGCACTAAAAACTAACATTTTGTACAGTGCTTATTAGTCTGTGCTGGGCTCTATTCTAACTCACTTAACACTTGGAACATCTCTTCGAGCTCACACCTATATTATTATCTTTATTTTACAAAGCAGAAATTGAGGCATAGAGAGCTTGAGTAAGTTGGTCAAGGTCACACAGCTAGTAACTAGGAGAACCAGGATTCACACTGAGCCAGACTGGTCCAGTGGGCCCCTTGTGGAGATGTTTGCAGAATAAGGTGGGAGGAGAACAGACAGGAGAGGCTGTTCCACTGCCAGGTGCAGTAAAGGGCAGGACNCAGATGTTACGTTAATTAATCATTATTATTAATGCATGCAAAGGGTTCAGCCAAGGCATGGGCATAACTGGCTGTCGGTGCTACTGTTGTAACCGGTGCCCTTTGCTTCTTTCCAGGAGCTTGGGCCCTTGCCCCAGCCCGGTAGAGGCTGTGGAGGTGTACCGTCTGAAAGCCTGGTTTCCAGGCCCCTGGCCCATCCCTGGCTACAGGGAGTGGCAGCTCCCACAAGGTAGCGGTGGCCTGCAGCGGTGGCCCCTCCTGGCCGTGAACCATGGGCCAGAAGCTCTCAGGGAGCCTCAAGTCAGTGGAGGTTCGAGAGCCGGCACTGCGGCCGGCCAAGCGGGAGCTGCGGGGAGCGGAGACCGGGAGGCCTGCGCGGCTGGACCAGCTGCTGGACATGCCGGCGGCGGGGCTGGCTGTGCAGCTGCGGCATGCGTGGAACCCTGAGGACCGCTCACTCAATGTCTTCGTCAAGGATGACGACCGGCTCACCTTCCACCGCCATCCCGTGGCCCAGAGCACGGACGGCATCCGCGGCAAGGTGGGCCACGCTCGCGGCCTGCACGCCTGGCAGATCCACTGGCCGGCTCGGCAGCGGGGCACCCACGCCGTAGTGGGTGTGGCCACGGCTCGGGCACCCCTGCACTCAGTGGGCTACACAGCGCTGGTGGGCAGTGACGCCGAGTCGTGGGGCTGGGACCTGGGCCGCAGTCGCCTTTACCACGACGGCAAGAATCGGCCCGGAGTGGCCTACCCGGCCTTCCTGGGGCCAGAGGAGGCCTTCGCGCTGCCAGACTCGCTGCTCGTAGTGCTGGACATGGACGAGGGCACCCTCAGCTTCGTCGTGGATGGCCAGTACCTGGGCGTGGCCTTCCGTGGTCTCAAGGGCAAGAAACTGTACCCAGTAGTGAGTGCCGTGTGGGGCCACTGTGAAGTCACCATGCGCTACATCAATGGCCTTGACCGTAAGTACAGCCATTTGGGGGATTGGGGGGTGGGGGTGAAGGGGGGCAGAGGGCTTCAGAGCCGGCTTTCCCTAGAGGAGTTAAGTTGGGGGTAGGGGCAGCAGGCAGGTGAGACCCCGCCCTCCATCAGCACTTGGGACAATTCTGCCGTGTGTAGAGGGATTGGAACGTTGACTGTGCCGCCAGCCTCTTGGGGGGTTGATTCTTTATTCTCCTTTGCTGGCTCACTGATGATCTTCATCTGTTTCTCAGTTTCCCAATCTGCAAAAGTGGTACAATGGAGTAACCTTGGCCAGGGTTGTTGTGAGGGTCAAATAAAATAATAATGAATGTGAAGTGCTTAGAACAGTGACTGGCACCTAATAAG